GCTGGGAGCCTGGCAGCGCAGCGGCACAGCAAGGGTCAGTGAGGGCCCAGTCGGGAGAGGCCGGAGGTGGACATGGGTGAGAAGATCAATGAGGCATAGTCAGGATGTGAGGGGCTGGACCTGGGCGGGAAGAGACGGCAGACGAGGGACTCCAGGTGCTCAGAGGTCAGACCAGTAGGGCTGGGTGACCCAGTGAATGTGAGGGCAGGTCCCGGAAATGGCATGGAAAATAGGAAGAGCCAAGGTCGATGTGCAGCATCTACATGGCTCGTGGACACGTGGCCCTGGCGTGTGGGCAGGCAGCCAAGTGAGTGGAATCCTGGCAGGGACCGCGCCAGGGCACTCGCCTCGCTACGCCACTGCTGCTGTGACCTTGAATGCAACAATGATGATAAATGGACTGCCCTCACTTAGCAACATCAGTATGAAAATCCAAATGAGGAACCAGAAGATGGTATGATGGTGACGTCACTGGATTCCCACGTAGTCTACTGCAGTTCGAGTCCTGGACCCAGAGGCTTAAAACTCATGTTGGGTGCATGTATGTGCATGCCCAAAATCCCAAGAGGAGAATGAAGGAGAAGGGATTGTGGCATGGCCATTCCACACGGAGTGTGATTTTTTACTTTCTGACTTTCTCTCTGTCTCTCCAGTGAGCACACATATCCTATAGAAAAAACCTCTCTCTCATTTGAAAAATGTTATTTAACTTCATTTATTTATTTATTGTTTATTTCAGTTTGAACAGAAAGGGACAGAGTGGGAACCAGCAGTTAGCGTAATGGCTATGTCGCTGGACTCCCACGTAGTTGACTGCGGTTCGTGTCCCGGACCTGGTGGCTTAAAACTCACGCCGGGCGCGTGTGCGTGCGTGCCCAAGATCCTGAGAGGAGAATGGAGGAGAAGGGATTGCGGCGTGACCATACCCCCTGGGGGGGTGATTTCTCGCTTTCTGTCTCTATGTCTCTCTCTGTCTGTCTGGTGAGCGCACGCGCCCTATAGCGAAAACCTCTCTAAAAATAAAAAATAAAAAAAAAAAATAAAAAGAAAGGGACAGAGAGAGAGAGGGAGAGAGAGAAAGAGAGAGAGAGAGAGAGAGAGAGAGAGAGAGAGAGAAAGTGAGAAAGCAAGCTGTCGGGTCTGGGACTCGCACTGCAGTTGGCCATGGGGGAATCTACCACCTTTAACCACCACGCCACCTGTCAGCCCTGCAAAAATCTCTCTTTAAAAAAAAATCCAAATGAAACACCACAAATGAACTGCAGCCTTACAAAGAATCACTGATTATAAGTAAACGAATATTTATCACTGGAATATATCACCAGCATAAACCTAAGAGAAATGCTCCACGTAATTTAGTATGCTTCTTTTTAAAAAGTATTTATTTAAAATACAGAGAGAAAAATTATACTTAATGCAGGACTACTGTAGATAATATCTATCAAAATAAAAGCAGGCAAGGACAAAAATACAAAAAAGTAGGGGACCAACAGGTGATGTAGTGGTTAAGGTGCTGGACACTCCAACATGGCTGACACAGTTTAAGTCCCGGACCTGGTGGCTTGCCTTCTCACCTTCTCTCTCTGGTCAAGTGAAAATAAATGAATGAATAAATAAAACTAAATAAATAATCCTTAAAAAATGCAAAAGTTGGTAAGAATGCTTCAAGAGAGAAATATAATATATATAAACTGGAAAATGAAGAACAAAAAAATTTTAAAAAGCAACTCAACTGTGTGTCCAGAAAATTTAAGGAAATCAGTCAAAATGACTTCATAGATAAGTTGTTCGAAAATTAATGACAGCTCCCTAACAGCAACTTCAGCACACACACAGACAAGGGGGACATTCGGGCACACTGCGCTCGGACTGTGGTGAAGCTCTACGGGAGTGCCAGCTCCCTAGGAAGGGGTAAGCCGGGATGGGGTTGTGAGCCAGCTCAGGAAACACACCATGTGACCCCACACGTAGGTTGCCAGGTGACACGATGCAGCACTAAGCATCCCCATGGGACACTTCCCCGGCTTTGTGAACACATTTTGAACATAATTTAGAGGCTACCGGGAGTGCCAGAAACCTGCTAAAGTATGAGTAAGATCTGTGCAGTGCATTGTACGTAAATAATCTCAACAAAAAGAAAAACCCAAGAACTGGCCCGCCAGGGAGTAATGCACACCTTAAGGCTTTGGTTTAGAAACCCTTAAAATCCCTAAGATCGAGAGCTGGACCATTCCCTCCCCGTGCGAATGCTCTGTGCCGTTGTGTCCAGCTAGAACCACGAGAACCTCATGTCTTTGTGCGGGTTCTTCCCTCTGCCTGGAGGGTGTCCCCTGAGCCTATGCGCTCTGCAGATCCCAATCTCTCCTTTGAGCCGTGGTGCCAGAGCTTGACCTCTGAAGATGCTCCAGAGTTCTAAGCAAGCACAGGGCTGTGTCCTGTCCACTCTCGCTGCGACTCTGCCTCCTCACAGCCACATGAAGCGGTGGCACCCACGGTGGGCAGTGGCAGGCCCTCTGTTTAAATGAATCACACAGGACAAGAGGACTGAAACACATTAATTCTAGCTTGAAGAATCTACAATATTTACTTTTAAAAATATTTATAAATCAATGCTGTCTGGGAAAGAGATTGCCTAGGCAAAAAAATTTAAAATGCAGGGATGAGAACTGCAGGGATGTTCTCAAAACAGATTTGATATTCAAAGGGACTTGCCCAGCTTAATAGCTGTAATAACTATTTTTTGTAACTTGTAAACTTCCCTTAATTTAACTAATGTAGAATTCTGAAAGCACAGGATGGACCTTTGTCCCAAAGGTGCCCCACTCACAACAACCCCAGTGTTCCACCCACCCTTGGTGGTAATGCACGAGTGGGTGTGGCCGGTGAGGTGCCTGTACACGGTGGTACCTGGCAGCAGTCCTGCTGCACAGACAGTGGACTGATCACAGACCTGCCACCTAGCAACTGTGCGACCCGCATGTTTAGTTCACTTCGCCAGGTCTCTACTTCCTCCTCTCTAAAATGAGGATGATGAGGATAATAAAAATACAGGTCAGCATTCCTTTAGCCATACTTTCAAAATCCAAAAAGCACTGAAAATGCTAACTTCGACTTGTAAGTTTGAAGCAAACTATTGGGTAGTAAAACCTGACCTGAACGGGTATGAGATACTGTATTGTCTTTATTTACCTGTTAATGTGGATACATTTGTATTCTGCAGCAGAAATAGCAGTTCTAACTCTAGGATGTATTGCAGAATATAGAATGTGCATCACGTTACATTAACTCCTGAAAGTTAAAACAGCGATAAAGAATTCCTTCCTGGTGTGGTCTCTTCCCACACTCCCATTTGTGCACCGAAAATGGACTCCCACCGACGGTGGCCCACGCCACCTGCCTCACTGGAGCTCAATGTACTGGGCGTCACGAGCAGGCACAACACGCTCCACCAAGCAGAGTGTGCAGGTTGCTGTGTCTAATTGTGTGCGTGCATGCATGTGTGTAGGAGTTTAGGGTCTCGCTGAGCTGAGATCCTCCCTGCACAGTCCCCCAAGGAGCCAGGACTCCGGGCAAAAGCTGCTGTGCCTGGCTCCTTGGAGAGGGTCTCTGCGTTGCTGCTCTGGCTATCAACTCATGACTCACTAGCCTCAGTCTTCCAAATAGTACAGTTCATAGACACATGCCAGTTTTCTTTAGGGTGGGCTGAGAATGAAACCCCAGCTGAATATCAGTGTCCAGCATGCACTACTGTGGTCAGATCTGCTTTAATTGTTTTTTCCTTCTTCAAATTTTGCCAGAGGGTGTATGTGCTCACGAGAGAGAGACAGAAAGGGGAAGTGATAGTGAGGAAGCACTGCCCACTCCATGGAGAAGGGTCATGAAGCAATCCCTTCTCCTCGTCTCCTTGTGCGATTTTGGACATGCAGGCACACGCCCAGTGTGCTTTTCCCACCTGCCAGAGCTGCAACTGTCACACAGCCAGCTGTGTGGGATCCAGCTGCCTTAACCATCATGCTCTGGGCTGGCCCTGCTTTGCTGGATTTTAAACTATAGTTGAAGAACAGAAAGTCACATATAAAGAATAAAATCAGAATCACAAGTTGATAAATTCTGAAGACTGCAGGTTTGAATGCACAGTCTTATAATAACATCATTTGTCAACTTAAGGTGCCTGCGCCTACGTGACTTCAGCAATTTCAGGCCAGAGGCCGGCTCCTATTTCACTGGTGTCTAGTCCCTCAGAACAGTGCTTCACACGCTTTGCTGGTGTCAGTGAGGGTTTACTGAACCAAGCACAATGGACCCAAGTACAATCACCAACTAAAGATTTTGTGGGAATAGTACGAATCCTGGCTCCTTTAAGCCAAATGATTATTCGAGCTATTTCAAGAATACCAAAATAGTTATTTGGAGTTAGAGGAAAGTGGGGAGTGGGTCCTCACAGGCCCCGCGCTCTGAGGCTGAGGGCACAGAAGTACTTGGCAGCAGGGGCCATGGGACCTCTGTGTCAAGTAACACACAGAGCTGGCTCTGTCCCTGCACTTCCTCTCAGTCCCCAGGGGACTTCTGAAGGGGGAGGTGGCCAAGGGCTGCCTAAAGGAAGACATTTCCCATCCACACCTTCAGACACATGTGGGAAGAGGGCCAATCTGTCAGAGCGCATGGAGAGGAATGCAGGCAGGCAGACCCCTGGGAGCCCAGCTGACTCGGTGCACCCCGCAGCTGATGCTTCAGTGGGAGCTGCTTCTAGGTAAACGGTGCAAGAGCTATAGGGATACCCACACCTTTGAGCTCGTAATTCCACTAGAAAAATGTTAGAAATTTATCCCTACCTTAAAAATAGTGAAGAAATGTAATTAACCCATTAGTGCAAGTGTTACTGGTATCAGATGTTAAAATAACGTCTGTGCTTTGGAAAAGATGGAATTTTATAATCAATTTCAATGCAGTAGGCTCTAATGGGGCCTGCAAAGTGGAAGGAACTTCTCGAACACAATTACCAGGAATCTCTCCTCCTTCTCCAGCCAGCGCTGATCCTCTTCCATCTCCTGCTGCTGTCGGATCAGTCGCTCCTCCATCAGGTGGGTTGGCAGCACCTGCCCGAGTCCTCGCAGATCCAGCGGAGTCGAGTCCTAAACAGCGCATCCAGTCTCATAAGCCTATTCCTATGCTCTTACTTGGCTTTGTGTGTCTTTCAAAAAGTTAAGCAGAACAGCAAGGATGGTAGAAATAGGGTCTTGCGTGCTCTGCCTGTGGGGGTGACCGTTGTGGAGGCTGCAACTGAATGTGTATCTTTAAAAGGCAATAGTTAAGCTCGCGGTCGTTCTGTAGGGTCTAGTGCAAAGAAGTAATCCAAGCTGTGCACGAAGAACGTATGAATGCCTTAGTAAGAGGGTAAAACGTAGCAGCAGCCTGGAGGTACTACTCGGCTGATACTCGAGGTACGTGCCTGCCTGGGGAAGAGAGCACGAGTGCAGGTAAGCACAGGTGCTCTCTGACCAGGCAGGCAGTTTCCACGACAGCAGTGTTTCCTGGTCCTACTGGAAAGACCTAGGAACAATGGATGTGATCCACAGAACTGCAGCTCTGTTCCCTCCTTGACCTCATGTACTTGCTAATTATTGACAACTTCGACTCAGGGCTCTGCCTTTTAAATAAATGGAATAATGACTGTAGCAGTACTTGGCTAGTTCTTTTATTTAAAGAAATTCATAAAAATGGGAAGTGTTTGAGAAGATGGGGCATCCTGATTTAGAACTAAGGCACCAAATCCAGAAACGTGAGGCTCTGGACATAAGGGCCACGCTTCCTGAGAATGACAAGAACCCTCGACTCACCTCCGCATTGGGCTGCCACATGGCTATCTCCTGAGGTCTATGGTTCCATGGTTCTGTTTGGTCCAGAAGAGATGCCTGACCTGGGTAGATGCTGCCAGCCATGGCCGTGATTCCGTGTGAACCAGGGTAGCCAGAGACCTGCAAATGCATCAGGAGGCAAGGCAGTGTTCTGTCACAATGTGGCTGTTGCACGGTTCTGCTACACACCACAAAAGGTGATGAAGCTCCCAGAGACTGTGGTGGTGGTACACAGGGCAAGGGTCTGGATGCCATGACCTAGCTCCTGGAGCACGGGATTATGTTCTCTGTGTGGCAAAAGGGACTTGGCAGGTGTTTCTGTAAATTGAGAACTTGGCAATGGGGAGAGTACCCTGTACTGTCCAGTGGGCCCATGTGACCAAAGGGTCCTTAAAAGTGGGAGAGGAGAACAGAAAAAAGGGAAGCTGTGATTGCTGAAGGGTGGCCAGGGAGACCTAACGCTGCTGGCACTGGGCATGGGCAAAGGGCCGTCAGCCAAGGTACATAAGTGGCCTCATCACCTCCAAAGCTGGTAGAGGAAGGAGAGTCTCTGCTCAAGCCTCGAGAAAGACAATCGTATGGCTGCACTGGACAAAGACCACAAATACATACTAAAAATAAGAAATTCTTTACTTTGGAATTTTACAAACGTGCCGACATGCTGAGCAGACCATCCCTGGATGAAAGAAGTGGAGAGCCAAGAAAGAGCCGAGCCACTCTGTGCTCTGGACTCCCGGTTCCTGCTCAGCCCACCCCCAACAAGACAGAGCAAACACAGTATCGTGGATAGCTGCCCTCTAATAAACGAGGCTGGTGGTGGGAGAAGTTCTAGCAACGACTGAGGCAGAGAAGACCTTCAGTCAGACATGGAGAACAACCTCAAGGCAGGAGGAGGTAAGTGGAGCTGCTTTCTACGGTTTGCGCCTCAGTCGCGAGTGAGCATGTGCAAGCGTGAGTGTGAGAGCCAGTCCGCTTCCGCAGCTCCTTAGGCTAGCGCTGTATGGCCAGGGCTGTCAACTTTTTAGTGAGACGCAGTTCAGTCAAATCCATACTTCCTAATATCGTCACACCCCACAGCAAAGGCTGTGTCTGTCTCGTAGGTCTCTAGGCATCAATTTACACCAAATTCTGTGTGGACAATATGTAACTAATAACATTTCAAGAACACTATGCACATAGTTCTTACTTTATTTGTATGTAAATGTTTTAATAGAAGTTCTGCTAAATCCAAAATGCTGTATCATATGATTTTCAGTGAAAAGGTTTTTTTGTTTGTTTGTTTTTAAGGTTTTTGCCATAGGGTGCATACACTTGCCAGAGAAGGATACAGAGGGGGAAAGTGAGAAATCACCCTCGGGGAGGATGGTCATGCTTCAATTCCTTCTCCTCTTGGGATCCTGGGCATGTATATATGCACCCATGCCTGGTATGATTTTTAAGCTGCCAGGTCTGGGACTCGAACTGTCATTAGCCACATGGGAATTCAGCACTCTAACCACCATTCAACCTGCTGGCCCCCAAAAGGGATATTTTACTGCCAGAAAACTCTGAGGAATTTTCACAACAAATTGGCTTCAAATGATCTACAGCAGTTTTCTCAACAACACTCACTATGAAGAAAGCTCAGGAAGACTTCAGGCTGAAAAGGACCAAGAACCACCACCAGGAAATGTCCTGTAGCTGGTCTCACTGACAAAGTATATGGGAAAGGTAGAGCCTGGGAGAAGTTAATTGTGTATTTGTTCAATTTAAAAAAAAAAAAAGAATGCGTTAGTTAATTCACTGTCTGCTCTATTCTACACACTGTTCTGGGCATGTAACAAAGCAGAGACTAGTCCCTGCTCTCAGGGGATTCCACTGCAGTGGGGACAGCCAGCCGCTGACACACACATGCTGGAGTCCAGAGTCACACCACAAAGCACGCCGGCAGGCTGCCAGGGCACAGGGCTCTCAGCTAATCTCCTACTCAGCAGGTGCTGCCAGGTGCCTGTCCTGCTCAGGCCAGCTGAGCTCTGACTGCCATCGTGGACGGGGAGACCTTGGCTGCGCTTCTGGCTGCCCTGCTGTGCCAGGCCCAGATCTCTTGGCAATCACAAGTCTGGTTCCCTACACACTTACACACCTGCCGCGGCTCTGACCACTTTCTGGGTCTGGGTTCCAGTCTTCATCACTACAGACTGACCGAAATGAAGGGTAAAAGGGAGCTCGTCCTCACGTTCCTTGTGCTTGGAGCAGCTGCACACGCAGCACCACCCTCCAAGGAAGGGCTGCCCGGAGAACTCGGAGAGGCACTCCTCTGGCTCTGGCCAGGTGGCTGTCTCAGAACAGGGTCTGATCCCCTGCCCTGGGACCTTCTGCAGCCGCTGTTAACCATGCTTGGTATGCGGGGCTCTGCCTTAGAGTGAGTGTGCTGTGATCTGCAGGCTGAGGAAAAGCTTGAGATCTACCAGCTTCAGCGTCACCCTGCTGTGGACATGGCCTTCTTCCCTCAGAAGAAACGGCCTGCGTTCCCCTTGGCACCCTAGGACCAACAGTATCAAGTGCGGCCCCTACTGGCCCAAGGTCTTCATTTAAACTGTGCTCTCACGCCCATGAAGGAGGCAGGAAGTGAAGTGCTGACCCGGAGACAGCACTTGGACTCACAGGCTCGCAGAGAGTGGGAGGGGTTGAACTGAAACAAAGCACACGCTTGTATGTCTCCATTTTTATAAAATTCTGAAAGAGGCAAAGCACATCCCTGGTAAGAGAAGTAAGGACCGTGACTGCTTCTGCCTGATGGGGCAGGGGCATGAGAGGACTCCTGGGGTTATCGAAATGTTCTGTATCTTGAAGTGACAGTAGGACACACAGATGTATGTGTCCGTCAAAAATAGGATGTGTGTGTGCCACTATAAGTAAAATGGACCTCATTAAAGGCTAATATCCTTCCCTCAAAAACAAATTTTGCTTTTGGTCCTTTTCTTTCCTTCTTTAAAATAATTATTTCACTTAACTCTATTTATTTGATTTGATTTGACCAGACACAGATGGAGGGAAAGTGAGAAAGCAAGCGCCAGGTCTGGGATTCGAACCGTGATCGGCCATGTCGGAGTCGGCCAGTTTCTTAGCTCTCTGCTCACCAAATCATACCCATAGGCACCCCCGCGAACACACACACACATAGAAATACACACATGTATACCTGGTAGTGATTGGTCTGTACCATGTGCTGTGGGCTGGGGTAAAATCCTTCGCTGGACCTTGGACTAGGATAACCAGGCCTGCTGGGCTGTGAACAGATCAGCAGAGATCATGTGAGTCAGTTTTTCAGTTGGGCTAAATCTGTTTCATGAAAAGAGCAGAAAGAGGTATTTCTCTAGTAGAGCTTAATTATTACAAAGAATGACAAAGTAGTGCCGACATATTTCAATACGGAAAAATGATCTTTCCAACAAATGATGCTGGAATAACCGACATATCCTAATGTGAAAAGTGAAGTTTAGCCCTTTCCCCACAGAAGACACTGAAATGAACTCGAAATGATCACACACACACAGCTAAAGCTAAAGAATTCTTAGATGTGAATGTAAGAGTCGATTTTTGTGGCCTACCACTAGGCAATAGTTTCTCAGCAACAACACAAAAGCACAATTGGCAAAAGAAAACAGAAAACATCAACTGGACGTCATCACAGTTGAAAACGTTCATGTTGCAAATGAAGACATTAAGATGGTTAAATGATTTAAAGAATGGAGACGCCAGGGCCAGCAGGTAGAGCGGCTAAGGCACTGGATTCCCATACGGCCATCTGTAGATTGAGTCCTGGACCTGGCAGCTGAAACAATGCTAGGCACACATGTCTGTGGGTCCAGAATCCAGACAGAAGAATGGAAGAGAAGGAACTGTGACATGGCCATCCCCTGGGGGGTAAGTGGGTGAGTGGGGGGGGGTACTCTCACTTTCCCTTTCTCTGTCTCTCTCTGACAAGTATATGTGCCCTTTGGGGGAAAAAAAAAGGCGTAAGACATAATTTATCTGGCAAGAGATTCATATCCAGAATTCATCAGGAATTCTTAAACTTTTTTTGTATTAATGACGAGGTGCATGTGTGCAAGTGCATGTACATGTATGTGAAAGAGAGAGAAGGGCCAGCAGGTTCCGAGGTTGGACTCATATGGCTGACTGTGGTTTGAGTCCCAAGCCTGGCAACTTGACACTCAAGCCAGGTGTGCGTGTGTGTGTGTGCGCGCCCAAGATCCCAGGAGGAGAATGGAAAAGGTAATATGGTGTGCCATCCCCGCTGGGGGAGGATTTCTCGCTTTCTGTCTCTTTCCGTAGCTCCCAGTGAGCGCATTCACCCTATAGCAAAAAAAAAAAAAAAGAAAGAAAAAAAAAAAAAAAAAAAGAAAAAAAAAAAGGAAGTGAGAGGAAAAAGATAAAGAGAGAGAGACAAACTCCCTGTCCCCATCCCACAGGGCCTGGTGTGTGTGCCCGGTGTGTTTCAGGCTGACCAGGAGCCATGGTTGCCATGCGGAATGCAGTTTCTCTTGAGCAGGGCATTGCCATACACCATGGAGCTAGCCTAACACTATATAAGCAACTGCTGTACAATAACGAAATGGCAATAATGGGCCAATATTGAAAAGCAGGGACTCATGCAGACCCAAAGAAGATACCAAATGGCCATACAGAACATGAAAAGATGCTCAACACCAAATCCGAAAACATGGACAGAAATACTTTTTTTTTTTTAAAAAAAAAAAAAGAAAAACTTTATTTTGTGTAATAGGAAGTGAGAGTATGACTACTTCCAGGGTTAGTTAATTCTCAAGAATGCCTGGGCTTTGGGACCAGCAGTTAGCGTAATGGCTATGTCGCTGGACTCCCATGTAGTCGACTGTGGTTTGAGTCCAGGACCTGGTGGCTTAAACTCACGCCGGGTGTGTGTGCGTGCGTGCCCAAGATCCCGAGAGGACAATGGAGGAGAAGGGACTGTGGTGTGGCCATCCCCGCGGGGGGGGACTTCACACTTTCTGTCTGTCTCTCTCTGTATTTCTGGTGAGCGCATGTGCCCTATAGCAAAACCTCTAAAAGAAAAAAAGAATGCCTGGGCTTTTGTTTTCCTGTTCAAAATAATTTTACTGTTTATCTTTTAATTGCCAAAGGGCATGTGCACTTGAGATAGACAGGGAGGGAGAGAGCCCCCAAATGGACATGGTCATGCCACAATCCTTTCTCCTCCACTTCTCCACCCCACCAGCATCTGGGGCACAGACATGCATGCACCTGGCATGTTTTTATACCACCAGGCCTGGGACTGAAACGCAGTCAGCCCTGTGGCGTCTGGCTCCCAGTGCACAGTGCTTCCCCACTGTGCTACGGGGCTGGCAGGGTTGGGCCAGCCTGGTGGTTAACGTGGCTGGACCCCATGTGGCTACCTACACAGTTTGAGTGGGGACTGCTACCAAGATAACTCCTCTTTTCTCTCTAGTACAGAGGGCCTCCTAAGACAAGTGTCCTTACACAGACATTTGGAAATCAGTACACCTATTACTTACGTATTTTATTTCAGGATTAGGAAACGGGACATTATAAAATACTGTTACTTAAAACGGAGTGCTGAGTTGGACTCAGGCTGAGGAGTGCTGTTCAAGGCAGGCATTCTGAAACATTTTATTTTCAGGACCTCCTACATTTTTAAATTACGTTGTCTACTTGGAAAATATCCACCAGTATTTATATTATTAGAAGTTAAAAGACACTTAGGGGCCAGCCCAGAGCCTAGTGGTTAAAGGGAGCTTGATCTTACATAGCTGACTGCAGTCTGAGTCCTGACCCCAGCAGCTTGAAAACTATGCAAGGTAGGAGTGCAGGTGTGCCCAAAATCTCAATGGGAGGGAGAAATGAGAAAGGACTTGTGGTGTGACCAGGCTCTGCGGGTGTGTGCGCGCGCACGCGCGTGTGTGTGTGTGTGTGTGTGTATGTGTGCTGTCTCCCCAGCTCTCATCCTCTGGGGACAGAAAAATGCTTTCTGGCAATTAAAACACACAGACACACACACTCTCTCTCTCCCCCACCCCTAGTGCTTGCTCTTAAACTGGGAAGAATGGCAAGTTTGCAGTTTTGTAAAGCTCTTTAAGGCCAGGCTAATGAAGGCATCACAGTTATATCTGCTTCGGCAGCCTGTCCTGATGCATTGTTCCACTGCAGCCCTATGGAGGAAAAATCTAGCCTGACACAGCTATGCACGTGGAGGGGCAGGAGTGTTTAATAGTCTCTTGGTATAATCATGGAAACCATCCTTTGTACCTATGATAAAACTCAACAAGTGATAGCTTCTTAAAGGTGAATTGAGGGGCTGGCAGGTGATATGGTGGTTAAGGGCACTGGACTCCCACATGGCTGACTGTGTTTTAAGTTCTGAACCTGGTGGCTAGGTTTCTTACTTTCTCTCTTTCTCTCCCCTTCGCTGGTCAAACTGGAAAGGGGGAAGGGGAAAGGAAAGGAAAGGAAAAGAAGAAAGAAAAATAAAACATTTCTTTTAAAAAAAAGGTGAGTTCGAATGTGTTATATTAAATTCCATTTCTCGGGGCCAAACAGGTGGTGTGGTGGTTATGGTCCTAGACTCCCACATGGCCAAATGCAGTTTGAGAACTGGACCTGGAAGCTTTCTCACTCACTTTCCCTACTTTCTCACTCAATTTCCCTAGCTCTCTCTCTCTTTCTTTCTGGTGAGCACATGTGCCCCATAGCAAATTTTAACAATAACAACAATAATAAATAAAATGAAATAAACATGTGACCAGCAGCTGGTGTAACGGCTATGTTGCTGGACTCCCATGCAGTCGACTGAGGTTCAAGTCCTGACCCAGTGTCTTAAACTCATGCCAGGAGCATGTGCATGCGTGCCCAAGATCCCAAGAGGAGAATGGAGAAGGAATTGTAGCATGGCCATCCCCTCTGGGGGTGGGGTGATTTCTTGTTTTCTGTTTCTCTCTGTCTTTCCGGTGAGTGCATATGCCTTATAGCAAAAACCTCTCAAAAGAAAAAAATTAAATAAACAATTCTTTAAAAAAATCTATTTTGGGACCACCAGATGGTGTAATGGTTATGTTGCAGGACTCCCATGTAGTTGACTGCAGTTAAGAGTTCTACTCACACTGGGTGCATGTGCGTTCATGTCCAAAATCCTGAGAGGAGAATGGAGGAAAAGGAATCGGTGTGGCCATCCCCCCAGGGGTGATTTCTCACTGTCTCTCTGTCTCTTTCTGTTTCTCCAGCAAGTGCATGTACCCTGTAGCAAAAATTCATTTAAAAAAAAAAACCTAACCAGCCAACCAACCTCCGATAAAATAATCCATTTTTTCCATCTTGTACTTTGAAAGAACCTTCAGTACTTCTTTTTTTTTTTTTGTAGAGATTTTTGCTATAGGGCGCGTGCGCTCGCCAGACAGATAGAGAGAGACATAGAGACAGAGAGCGAGAAATCACCCCCCAGGGGGGATGGCCACGCCACAATCCCTTCTCCTCCATTCTCCTCTCGGGATCTTGGGCACGCACGCACACGCGCGGCATGAGTTTTAAGCCACTGGGTCCGGGATGCAAACCGCGGTCGACTACGTGGGAGTCCAGTGACATAGCCATTACGCTAACTGCTAGTTCCCCCTTCAGTACTTCTGTAACAGTGTGTGGTCATTTGGAAACTATGGGCTTCCTGCTGTCACAGAGATGTTCCCAATGTGGACATGTTACAGTATATTACATACATTCATAAAAATCACACATTTTTAAAGAATTATTTAATTTATTTTTTTTGGAAGTTGACCACACAGAGAAGGAAAGTGAGAAAGTAAGCCGCCAGGTCTGAGACTTGAACCATAGTCAGCCATGTGGGTGTTCAACTGCCCCAACCACCATGCCACCTGCCAGCCCCAAATCACAACTGTTAGTACCACCTTGAGCTCATCGGGACAGTCTAAGAATTGGGAAGCTGTCATAGTCATGGTGACAAATTTTGCGAAGTTGGAATTTTGCCTAAAACCTCAACTCATCATTGGTAACAAATCTTATTAATTGTCTGCCTTAGTGACAGCCTCACTTTTTTTTGAGAAGATACCAAATGAGTCCCTAACTTTGAACAAGATGTCTGCCAGCTGTTCTTTCAAGGTAACTTGGTCTTCCATAAACAGAAGCACTTCCTCCAGCTCACGACTGGAGGACAGCGTACTCAAGACAGGCACTGTGTGGGCGCGCTACCTCAGCCAGGCCACCCTTCCTGCGTGCACACAG